TGTCAAGAATTCTCAATACAGCTTGGATGGAAACAACATCATCAGCACCACAAAAAGGAGAGAATCATCAGCAAATAGAAGGTGAGACACTCTAACCCCAAACAGTGCCATTCAAGCCTATCATAAGCCTTCATCATGTCAAGCTTAAGTGCTAAGTACCCCTGTCTACCAGTTCTATGCCTATTCAAAAAATGAATAACCTCATGAGCCATAATTACATTATCAAGCAGCTGCCTACCAGGAATGTAGGCAGCTTGGTTTTCACTCACACATAAATAAAGATAAGGCTGAATTCTGGAGGCAAGGATTTTGGCAATAATTTTGCAAGACACTTCACAAAGACTTATAGGCCTGAAGTCACTCAAGGAGGATGGATTGATGCATTTTGGGATAAGAGTTATAATGGTATGATTCCAGCTTTTCAGTAGCATGGAGGATTCAAAGAAACTCAAAACAACATTGCAAAGGTCATCTTTAATAACAGGCCAAAAGTGATGAAAAAATAAGGGAGACATACCTAACACTCCAGGGGCTTTCTCTAGGTTCATGCTTAATAAGGCAGCCTTTATTTCATCTTCACCAACTAAGGCTAGCAGTTGCTAGTTTATCTCATTAGTAATGATTCTGGGAATAAGCTGAAGAACACCCCCTTCATCACAGGAGTCTTCAGATGTGAATAATTTCTTATAGAACTTGCATGATTCAGTCTCAATATCAGCTTTGGTGTCACAGATTCTCCCTCCATCTACAACCAGCCTAGTTATGGCATTTAGCTTTCTTCTCTGGATAGTCAAAACATGAAAAAATTTGGTATTTTGATCTCCTTCTTTCAACCAGAGGTTTCTGGATTTTTGCTTCCAGAAAATTTCTTCAGCACACTGGCTTCATCAAGCTCCTGCTTCAACCTCTCCCAACTCTCCCAGTTTTTCCCATCACTGAGCTGTCTCATTTTCTTAAGTTGCAAGGTGAGTTTATCAATCTTAATGGCATTGTTAGATTTGAAAGCTTGGCTCCATTTGAGGAGAGCCACCCTAGTGTGTTTGATTTTCTCCTGAAATCTGAACATAGGAGTTCCCATGCATAAAGGCTCCCAGGCTTTCTTGACAACCTCCATAACATCTTGCTTGGCAATCCATTGTTTGTTGAAAATAAACCTAGCCTTGGATTTCTGCTGAGCTGGATCACTAACAAGTACCATAATATTGTGGTCAGATGCAGTTTTATAGCAATTATGAACAACAGCAGAACTGTGAGATGAAGCCCACTGCAATGACCAAAAACTCTATCAAGCTTTTCCTCTACAAAATGCTCATGAGTTTTATTATTGGTCCAGGTAAATTGGTGGCCTATCATGTTCACCTCCACCATACTCATCTGGTTGATGAAGTTCTGAAAACTTAGCATGTCAGCAAAACTCTTGTCCCTGCCTCTCCTCTTGTCACTGAGATCAATAATGGCATTCCAGTCCTCTCCAATCAGCCACTCCTTCCCCCATTTAGCCTTAGCATCAATAAGATACTTCCACTGCTCTTCTCTTATCCCTCTGTCAGTGCTCATATATGCAAAAATCAACCAAAAGGAACCACTACTACCTGGTTTACTGATCTCCACTTCAAAGCAAAAAGAATGCTGAATAATCTGCAGGATAGTCTGAGATCTATCCCATAAAAGAACAAGACCACCACTAATGCCAATGGGATCAACAGTAACCCATCTATCTCTGTAACCAAGCTTAATACACACTGTTTTGACAAAATCTTTTTGTTTTTTAGACTCAGAAATAAAAATGAAGCTGGGATGGTGGATTCTGATTGAATCCTTAAGTTGGGAAACTGTAGAGGGTCCACCCAACCCTCTACAGTTCCACAATATCATCTTCATTGATTCACTTGGGGCCACTTTAGGCTGGCTTCCTCCACCTTATCAACAGTACTTTTGGATTTCTTTTTGTTTCTGATACCTTGCCCTTCTTCTTCTGCAGATTGAGATTGGATACTGATCAAAGCTCTGCCTCTCTTGAGAGACTCCTGCTTACCACTGTCTCTTGCCTGCTCTTTACCACTTAAAAGTCTGCCCTCCTGAACTTTTGATCATTTCCAGCTCCTAGCCTTGCCAGGGATTTTCTTGGGGTCTGATAGTATAGGTGTTGAGGATTGAGGGGATGCAAGAGTACCTTGATGAACTTCTACCATGGCAAGATCAGACTCTGTGTTTTCGGCAATGCAGATAATTTGATGGCTTTCTAACTCCTCCACTTGAAAATCCATGGTTGGCACAATCTGCTTATCTGGTGCTTCTATGACTTTAAGCTTAGAGTTATTCATCTCAGCGGAGATTTTGTTATTGATGCCTCCTGGAGGGGAGATAGGGGCTTCTTGATGCTTCTCACCCTCGTCCATTGTACCACTGCTACTAGCAGCATTGATTTTACTATAAGATCCTTGGTTCGTATTGATATCCTGCTTTAGAGAGCTAGAATAAGGTCTAGAAGGAGAACTTGAGTAGTTGCTCCTGGAATAACCACCATTTTCAGCCGCACGAAGCCACTCCCCATATTGCCCCTCTTTTAAGATTCCTTTATCAATGTCAGAGAGTCTTTTGGTACAAGCCTTATCCAAGTGACCTATTTTACCACAGTAGAAGCATAAGTTGATTAGTCTCTCATACTGAAAGGCAACCAAGACTTGTCGGTCCTTCAACTTCAAGGATGTACATTTAGGGAGAGGTTTAGAGAGATCCACAGTAACAAGAAGCCGGATATGTCCCTCTTTGCCTCCCCCTCCTTTCACAACAGACACATTCCTAACTTTTTTGAATGCTTTGCCCAATTTGAGACCAACCTCCGTGCTAATCCAATCCAGCGGAAGATTCTGGACTTGCACCCACATATTGAGTTCCTCAAAGCCTGGAAATCGAGCACCCATACCTTTATCCCATTCAAGCAGGATTAGGTACTCGTTTTCAAAAATTCAGTTCATCCCAGATGCCACCTTCTTCTTGTCATCTATGTTTCTAAAGATAAACTGAAAATATGGCTCAGTTCTCGCACTTCCACAGGTTGTTGAATCTGCCAAATCGCGGTCATAGTTCTTTTGATACCAGACAATGTAGCTCTTCTATCTCCTATCACTTTGCCAAACAAGCTACAAGCACATTCTACTGAACTGGACTTGATGTCCGATGAATCAATTTCAAACACATCGCCTTTCGTACCTTCTAATTCAATGTTCTTCAGCATATTCCCAGTATCATTCATCATATCCCTAGACTGCGTAGCCTTAGTTGAATTAGACTCCATGGCGATCCTGAAAGCACAAACCATGAAAATAAACCCTAGAACAGAAAAATGAAGAAAAAGGTGTAGGAAAATTAGACAATAGATAAGGGAAACTAAGAAAGTTCATAATGGCTAGCTCTCAAAGAAAGAATTGAAGAAGATTGACTCGCAAGATCGCTCCCACCAGGAGAATACTGTATATGAGGAATGAGACGAAAGGAGTAACACATGCAGATAAGGATGAAAACAGGACGGGAAAATCCCGTACCGTCCCGCAACCGTTCCCATATATGACCCGCTCGTTTTCGTATTTCCGGTTTTTTCCCGGGAACGGGACGGATAAAAACGGTAACGGGACCGAAAACAGTTTGGGGTGTTTCCCGCCCATTTTTTCGGTTTCCCGTTTTTTAGCGGGAATATCCCATTTTTATCCCGTTTAGAATTCCCGGGATACTGACTGGCAAAGGAACTCGCATCTCGGCCCAAGTCAGTCGAAGGCCCAAGTTAGCCCAACACTCCTACCGCAACCCTAAATCCTTCAGGCCCAAGTTAAACCTAAAACCTCACGCTAACACATCTATCTGACTATCTCTCCCACTGCATATCTATTCTCGGTGCCTATAATATACACCATCGCTCAACTCGGGATTGTCTTACACTAATCAAACTTCTGCGCTAGAATCTCTTGCCACACTCAATGCTACGCTCTTCATGTTGTTTGGATCCTTGATTGGGTACCCAATTGCATCAGCCTCTGGTAATGAACTATGACATTTTTATCTGTGTTCATAAACCTTATTTTTGAAGATTCTTCTCTCTTGTTTGTTTTTTGTCTTTGTATCCTTCATATTGCATATTTCATATGTAGCTGTGACAAATTGTGGTTGGCCCCAAGTTGGTTTTAGATCTTGATGAGCTTAAATCATTTGAAAAATATTAGAATATTATAAGTCATTTAAAAAAAAAAAATACGGGCTAACAGATATCGAACCATAATCGACGAGATACAGATCAACCAAGTAACTTAAAGCTCAATAAAAAGAAGTTATCCTAACTGAGTCCCCATGGAAAATATCCCAAAATCTCCAAAACTTGAATTGTTCACAGATCGCCAATTCACGCTAAAGCTTTTGATGATCATTAAAAGTAGTTAGACAATGAAAATGTTAGTCAAAATATCATCACTTGGTTCCTGTTGGAATAGATACTTTAATGGATGGAATTTCTGGGTGATAGTATATTACAGGGGTCTAAAGATGGAAATATTACTTTATTTGAAGAAAAGAGTTTTATGTTAATTTTGCTGTAGACAAAATCATGAAAAAATCAAAGGGATTGAAATATGAATTATCTCATCTCCAGAAGTCCAAAGAATAACACTGCAGCAAAGACGGAGGCCGTAGTCAAATGAGTCACTGCCATGAAAAGCTTAGTTTCTTTCATCACAAAAGCTATATTGCTATTGTTAACATGCTGATATGTACATTTTTAGAGTTATGTGTGTCAGGTTGTGACCTTTAATTGTTAGCAAGGGTTGAGAATTTTAAGGAATTTTGCCTTAAGAATAAAGAGAACAACATTAATATAAATATACCCGCTCTTAAAAGTGTTTTTTTCTACTAGTGTCGCAATGCCACGCACCAAAGCAGGTGCAGGTCGTTGCACTCCTAAGGCTAGTCCACGGCAGTAGAGGAGCATTTCTTTGGGTCGCTTGCTAGAGGCAATGTCGCCGGCGGCTTCTTTTGGGAAAGGCAGCACCAGTGGTTCCATTTCAGGTACCTGTCACGACGTCACTCCATCAGTAGAGAGTAAAGAGTAGTAGATCAGTTTTGCACTAGCACTAGCACATCACATTATTACTTACTAGGATTAGGAGCTACTAAGTAGTTGAGCACATGATTTTTGAATCAGCTTCAAGAGCAGCAGACTTGCTGACTTGCAGTAGCTTATTAAGTTTCCTCTTGTTGTTGTCCTTTGTCAGGAACCAATAGAAAGCAAAGTGAAAGTGCTACTCAGGCTGCTGGTGTGTCAGGATCTTCTTCACGACCTTCAGGGTCATCTCAACCTGCTAGTGATGATGCAAATCAAATGGTTGGCAGTGGTTCCGGCACAGGAACACATGAACAGGGTCATGTGGCAGGTATTGATGGTAATGGCATACAATCTCGTGGCCCAGATAATGCAACTACAAATGATGCTGTTATTGAGGTTGAGGAGGATGAGGACGGGGACGAGGATGAGGCTGGAGAGTTGACTGGGGGTGACGGAAGGAGGCCGAAGAAATTGACATCTTTTGTTTGGGAGTACTTTACCAAGAAAACTGAGATAGTAGAGATGGATGGCAAGAAGTATGAACAGAAGTGGGGGTACTGCAACTACCCTAATTGCAAGGCCAAATATAGAGCTGAGTGTAACTATGGAACAACTGGTTTTCGGAACCATCTGAAAACAGCACATCATGTTGTAACAGGGCAGTTGCTATTGAAGGCAGAAAAGGATCATGGAAAAGACATCGCGTTGATTCAACCTTACAGGTATGATCCGGAGGCTAGTGTCAAGAAGCTGCACTTAGCAATAATCATGCATGAGTACCCTTTTAATATTGTTGAGCATGATTACTTTGTTGACTTTATCAAGTCTTTGCGCCCTAGCTTTCCTTTGAAGTCTCGTGTCACCACTAGAAATGAAATAATGGATATATATTTGGAAGAAAAGGAAAAGTTTTATGCATATTTTAAAACAGTTCGCTGCCGCTTTAGTGCAACCATGGATATGTGGACATCTTGACAGAACAAGTCATATATGTGTATCACCATTCATTGGATAGATGATGATTGGAAAATTCAAAAGAGAATTCTCAGTTTATTTCATGTAGAAGGACGCCATACTGGTCATAAGTTGGCAGAGACCTTTACTGAAGTCATGGTTAGCTGGTTCGTTGAGAAGAGATTGTTTGCTTTGACATTGGACAATGCTAGTAGCAATAAAGTGGCAGTCGAAGAGATAATTGATGATCTTAAGGAGAATGGCAATGCTTGTCTGGTTTGTGAAGGTATTTTCTTTCATATTAGATGTGCTTGTCACATACTCAATTTGGTTGCTAGAGATGGTTTGAGTGTTATCTCAAAAACAATTGACAAGATTAAGGCACTTGTGCTAGTTGTAAAGGGCTCTCCATTGCAATGGGAAGAATTAATGAAGCGTGCTGCTGAGTGTGGGTTGGATACAAACAAAGGTATTTCACTTGATGTTTCAACTAGGTGGAATTCAACCTACCTCATGCTATATGATGCCTTACACTACAAGCCAGCTTTCATTAGGCTGAAGTCCTCAAATCGCCGTAAGTATGCTAACATTTCTCCATCTGAGGCTGAATGGGAGATGGCTACAAAAATTTGTCATTGCTTGAAAAAGTTCTATGATCTCACTTAACTTCTATCTGGTACTTCATATCCAACTGGAAACTTGTTTTATAGAGGTTTTTGTGAGAAAAAGGAAATTCTTGATAAATGGTGTGTTTGTGATGATTTCACTATTCGGGAGATGGCAATTTCTATGCATGAAAAGTTTGAGAAATATTGGACCAATTCTAGTACTAGTCTAGCTGTGGCATCCTTTCTTGATCCTAGATACAAGAAGAAGCTTGTAGAATTCTACATGAGAAAGTTCTATGGTGATTACTATCAAGCTCAACTTGATGAGTTGCTTACTGTCATAAAGAAATTGTATCAGTTTTATGCTACTAAAACTGCTACATCCTCAAACACTAAGAGTATTGTGAATGGTAGTAGTAGCATAGCAGCAGATCCTTTAAGGGAAAATCTAGATGCTGAACTTGAAAGCTTCCTATATGATGATTGTGGGACTGATAGAGTCGAGTTAAATGAATTGGATAGATATCTGGCAGAGCCACTTTTGAAGCAACACCCTTTTGATATTTTAGCATATTGGAAGATCAATACAGAGAAGTACCCTGTTCTTTCACAAATTGCTCGTGATATGATGGCCATACAAGTGTCCACAGTTGCTTCTGAGTCTGCGTTTAGTGCTGCTGGACGAGTCATTGATCCTTACCATAGTCGTCTTGATCCTGAGATGGTACAAGCATTGATCTGCTCAAAAGATTGGATACGAGCAGCAAGAAAAGGTGGCTATTTAACTACTTTGCAAGTTAAAATGGTACATGAATTGTTTTCTTTACTGATTTGTCTCTCGTTTGTTTTTCAGATCCCAGGTATATTCCTTCAATTGTGGCTGATCTAGAACCTCCAGAGATCATTTCTCTCTCTCCTGATAACCCGTTGCATGATGAGGATCAGGTATGTTAATGTATCTACTTCTACTTGTAGTTCCAAATCAAAGCAACACTTGAAATGTCCAAAAATTCAGATCAAAGATTTGACCTCCAAACACTACTGACTTGCAAGTTGCAACAATCTTTAAAATTGTAGGATATGGAAGGAATGGAAAGTGATCCAGATGTGATGAATGAAGAAGATGAGCTGTGAACTTGTGCCATTGTGTGGTGGCTAGTGTGGACAGTGGACGTGTGGTCCAGTATCATCATTAAGACTTAAGTGTTTAAGATTTATGTCGCTATCTATGTCGTGTCGTGAATTTGTGGACTGGTTCTGGTATTTTGGAGTCTGAACTCGCTGTGAACTTGTGATCTACCGGCTGTTGGACTTGTGTTTAAATTTATTATTGTGTCAATTATGGACTTATGATTGTGGTTTTTTTGTTATCGTCATACCGCCTTTAATTGCCCGTTACCGCCCGCTACAGGTATTATATCCGTTCGTATTAGTTCGTTTCCGTATACCGGGATGTCCTGCATCCGTTCCCGTTCCCGTTCCCGATCAAAACATGTGGGAACGAAAACAGTTTAGGGGGTTTTCCGCCCGTTCCCGTCCGTTTTCATTCCTACATGCAGATGGATGCTTTTTTCAACTTGTTTCTATTCCTCTACAGAAATATAATCACTCGTCTCGATATGCATTTTCAATAAAAATATTAAAATCACAATTAAGTAAAGATATGTACCTTGTTTCACTCTTGGCTACCTGAGAGTGAAATAAATATGATCAACGATCATTGCGGAACTCTCCTCTCAGATTGCATAAAAACCAAGAATCTGAAGCTGGGAAGAGCTCTTCACGCCCACCTAATCAAAACAGCTCAAATCCTCGACACTTTCTTCTCAAACCGTCTCATACAGATTTACTCAAGATGCAGCTCATTAGCTTCTGCCGGAAAAGCCTTTGATGATCTCTCTTTCAAGAACACACATTCCTGGAACACTATGATCTCCGCCTACTCTGAAGCGGGCTGGTTCGAAACTGCCCTCCGGCTGCTCGACAAAATGCCCGAACCAAATCTCGTCACCTACAACTCCATCATCTCTAACTTGAGTCGTAATGGGTTTAGCCGAGAAGCCGTAAACTTGTTCAGAGGAGTACAGAGAAAGAATCGGAGTGTTGTTTTGATGGATGAGTTTACTGTGGTCGGCTTAGCCCACGCCAGTGCTAGACTGGCTGCACTGGAGATACTGCGCCAGGTGCACTCCGTGGCTCTCGTGATGGGTTTGGATTTTAATCGGGTGGTCTGCAATGCTCTGATCGACTCTTATGGAAAATGCGGTGTTCCGGAAAGTTCTCACTGGTTATTTAGTAGAATGGAAGAACGGGACGTGGTTTCGTGGACTTCCATGGTAGTTGCATACGCCAGGTCGTGCAGGCTTGATGATTCTTGCCGGATTTTCGATCAAATGCCATTCAAGAACTCTGTTTCTTGGACGGCTCTCATAACGGGCCTGGCCCAAAATGGGGAAGGAGAAAGGGCTCTGTCCTACTTTAGAAAAATGATGCATGCAAATTCCGTTGCCGCTAATGATGTCACGTACGTTAGCGCTTTAAGTGCTTGTGCAGATTTAGCTACCATTGGAAGAGGCAAGCAAATCCACTGCCGCCTGGTCAGAACTAAAAACGGTAGCATATTCGGTAAAGTTTTTCTAGTCAACGCACTAATTGATATGTATGGTAAGTGTGGAGACATGAAAAGTTCGATGAGATTGTTCGATAGGACCCAAGTGAAAGACGTCGTCACTTGGAACTCGCTGATAAACAGTTTCGCCCAAAACGGTCGAGAAGAAGAATCCCTCGCTGTTTTTGAGAAAATGATTCGGGAAAACGTGAAACCGAATGACGTGACGTTTATCGGTGTTATGTCGGCTTGTAGCCACTCGGGTTTGGAATCCAAGGGACTCGCGTATTATGACATGATGATCAATAAATTTGGCATTGTCCCACATTCAGATCACTATGCAATCATCGTTGATTTGCTCGGGCGGAAAAATAGACTTAATAAAGCACTGGAGATTATTGAGAAGGCTCCCGATGGTTTTGACCGTGTCGGGATGTGGGGTTCCATTTTGGCAAGTAGTCGTGTGCATGGGAATGTGGAACTTGCGAGTAAGGCAGCTGCAGCTCTTTTCAAGCTGGAGCCCGAGAATTCGGGAAGGTATGTTATGTTGTCGAATATTTATGCGACGGCCGGTAGGTGGGAGGATGCACGTGGGGTTAGGAGGGTTATGAATGAGATGGAACTAAAGAAGGATGTAGGGTGTAGTTGGATCGATTTTAGGGACGTGAGGTGTGTTTTTGTGGCTGAAGGTGAGTTGAGTCCGGAGCTGGAAGTTATAGGAGAAGTGATTTTGAATCTTGTGAGCCAAATGAAGGATGATGAAGGGTGTTCATCAACTCTGGGAGTTTATTAATTTTTTCGGAAGGTATTTGAAGCAAAAAATGTGGTGCGTGATGAATATTGAAAAACTTGATGGCTGTTCAGCATGCGCTTCAGTATTTGAACGAACGACGAGAGAGAGACAGTATATGTCTTTTCACGGTGAACATCAATATCAAAGGTGGCACGATTCAGTTTGTGTCAGATGACAGTGAGAACCTCAAAGAAATCGAAGTTCGTGGGCAGTCGAATTCTTATGGGTTTGGTAAGAGAAAAGGATGAACTGCAAGAAACTGAAAGCTGAAGTTTTTGTAATGATAGAATAAGGTGAAAATACAAAATTACGAGTACCTGTTGTTTAGGCATCATGAATAGAATATCCCGTTAATTTGGAGATGTTACTTACTCTCCCATAAATTCGTGAAAGAACTTACATATTATGTGTAACCTAATGAATATGAGAGGTTTAATTAAAATAATTATTTTTATGGGGACACATTGAGCATTAACTCATATCTCAAAATTAACTCAAGTGAATATTCAGTCCATTTGTTACAAGCTACGTCATCTAGACTCCGATGTTCCATTGATATCTGGACATGGTAGGAAAACAAGTTGTGATCAAGCTCATGAACAGTATCAACCCAAAGTTTACAAAATAAACGTAAGAAATAATATGTGGAGCCTCCTTCATATTGCAGCTACGGCACCTTCGTGGAGAAGACCCTCCTGACGCGGCCCGGCCCTCACCTTGTGCCCTCTGTTCTGTCACTTCCTCTTATATGGCTCGCTCTTCTTGTGTTGCCGCGTCGGCCATTTTGATGGCGTTTCATCGACGGGAGTGGGGGCTGCGGTTGCGGTATCGGGTGTGCTGACCTTTTCCTCTTCTCCTATTCCGCTGAGACGGGGATTTCTTTCGGCGGATGACCCCTTTGGCGTTGGGCCTTTGGGTATTTGTTGGGTTTGTGGTGAGGTTGGGTCGGTGGGGCTTCGGGGCGCAGTTTATGGTCAGCTTCTGCTCAGTGGGTGGGTCTAACAAGTCGTCACCGCCTCTTGCTAAAGGGAGTGGTTAGGATTACGCCTGGGCGGAGGTCTGGCTCGAGAGGTAGTCTTCGACTCTCATTTTCGTGATGGCTCCGGTAAGGCTGCTCCTCCCGCGAGCTAGCGGTCACAGATGTCGAGTGGTTTCATCCCTTTGCGTGGATGCCATGGCGGCGGAGGTGTTGGTCGTCGGTTCGTGAGCGGGGGCGTGGGGCTTGGGCTTCTGGCTGCGTGCGGCTGTCGGCCGAGGTCGAGGCTTCGTGCTTTCTGTCTTTGTGTCTCTCGGTGACGGTGTTTTTTGGGCTGCGGAAGCTGATTGTTGTGAAGAGGAAGACGTTTGTTCTGGTCTCTCGGAGCTTTCTGTGGTGGTCCATCGGCGGAAGTTTCAGGTCCGTTAGTCCGGGCCGAGTTTGTCGTAGGGAGAGTTTTCTCAACCCGTGTGTTTGGGCTAAGGGTTGCAGTCTCTTATGTTTCCCGCTTTGGAATCAGTTAGGTGACGAAGGTCTTGGGCGCTCATCGGCTGGCTGGGAGGGTGTTTTGTTGTGTGTTTTTGTTTTTAATATTTAGTTGTGTGTTTTAGTTTCCTGTTTGGGAATTGTTGTATTCTTTTGCAGAGAGTTGTGTTATTCTCTAGTTGGTAACTTTTGTTAGCCTTTGTTATTAGTATTTGTGTATTGAGTTAAAGTTGTTTCGGTATAATCTACCTCGGGCTAGTTGCTTATGTGTAAGTCTTCCCAACTATATTCAACTGAGTATCTAACTTATTCGGTTATTTAACTGCTTTCTAGTATGTAATTATGTGTTTTTTTTCTAGTATGTAATTATGAGTAACTGGAATGAATACACTTATTCTCTCTCCCCTTTATCTTGTTGATCATCAACTGAGGGTATGTTTGGTATGACATATAAGCTAACTTATAGCTTATTTGATTAGCTTATAAGCTTCCTGTATTAAATAAGCCCTGTTTGGTAGGACGAGCTTATTTAAAAAGCTCGAGCTTATTTGATAAGCTTGTTTAGGTAGCGTTTCAAAATAAGCTCGTTGAATTTTTTATTTCAGCTAGCTTATAAGCTACTTTTACCAAACACTTTTATCATATAAGCTAGCTTATAAGCTATAAGTCATAAGCTATAAGCTATAAGCTAGCTTATCACATATAAGCTATAAGCTAGCTTATCAGCTATCAGCTAGCTTATCAGCTAGTTTTACCAAACACACCCTGAGACTGAGCTAGAGGATGTGTCTGCTGCCATTATGCATAATCTCTGGCCTCCAATCTCTGTTGTATTTTTTCTTTGTTCTGGGGTGCTTTCATGGTTTTCTTCTACTCGTCCCAATGAAGACGGCAAAGACTTTGACTTAATAAAATGCAGAAAAAATAAATAATAAAATGCAGAAAAAAAAAAAGGTACATTTTGACCAATCACTCCTATAACTTCAGCATCTTCCCCTTTATTTCGCCACAACAGAACTGATACACTCAACTCAGCCAATAAAATAAAAATTGTTAGCATTTAATTCAGCATGGGAAGATCAAGCGATTTCAGATTTTGGGACGAAAAATTATTGAACGACCATCACGGTTACACAGATCCAGACAGTGATGGACTAAAATGTGATGTTCCAAAACTTCTCCAAGACCAACTTGAAGCTTTCTCTCCTCCATTTTGGCCACGAACAAAACCGAGCGACTTGAGGCAAGAAAATTTCGCTATGCCGCCAAACGGTAGAAAGGAGATGATGGAAATGGTCAAGGACATGCCAGAATCTTCATATGAACTCTCACTGAAAGATATAGTTGATGGTCAACAAACCATGGACAAGTTACAAGTGAAGGAAGTGGTGGCACAAACAAAGAAAACGAAGCATAAGATGGAAAGAAAAATTCCGCAGAGTAACAATTGTCAAATAAGCAGGAGTGAGAGCATGGAGGGTGAGGTCTACTTACTCAAGTTGTTTTTACCACTATCTCTGAGTTTCAGTAAGAAGAGCAAGACAAGAAAAGACTCCAAAATTTGTTCAGTCCAGAGCCAAACATCCGAGGGATCCAGGAGACGAGCAAATAAAGACTGGTGGAAGATCATAGCTCTAGCTGTAAAGGATAACCAAATAGGTACAAAAATTGACAAGAGAGCAGCAAGTGGGGATGGTAGCAATATAACCAGGTACGCATTCTCAGTCTTTACTAATAGCAGTGTAACTGTAAAGTAATAGCGGATGGAATTTAACATGCATAAAGTTGCAAAAAAACAATGAGTACAGTAACAACAAAATGAAGATTATAAATAGAGAGAAGACATCGGTTTATGAATCTGTCAATTTGCAGCATTCACATACTCAAGAACTGTGACCCTCAAATAACCATCATTTTAGATTTGTGTAAAGATTCGAGTTAATATGTTCAGCCCAGAAAATCCTTAGATATAAGCACTGCGCTCTAAGTTAATTAATTCACATGTGGTGCATTTTTTTTTTAAATTGAAAATAACATGATACCTTGATGGTCCTCCAGAGAGAAGATAACCATACCAAGACAGCAACGAGGGTGGAGCTTTTGTGGAAAAATATGACAATCGACAAATCCAGAAAGGACCGTGCTTCAGAGGTTGCACAACAAATGCTGGAGTGCACATGGGCTAAGATGGATATTCCCAAGCAACACGCATTGGAAACTGAGTATTGTCCTATTTAATAAATTATAACAAGTAGCTTGCAGACATAATAGTGTATTCTGAGAAAGTAATAATGAAGCCAGAATAACAAAACTTTAAGGAAAAGATGTTCTTAGCTACAGTGTTTGCAATCAGATAGGTTATATTTACAAAGAAACTCAGATTTGCCATGTTAGCTAATCTTCCTTTTATCGGTCACAGAATAAAATCAATGTATCATTAGAAACGTCACAAGTAGTTACAATACAACCATCAAACAACGCACCCTGAAAGAGATTTCACATTCCAATTTGAAACAAATGCTGTAGTTACTCGCATATGACTGGCAGTTGTAAAGCACTATTTCCAGCTTCCAGGCACTATCAGAACCAATACCATAACTTCAGCACAATGAAGCATATGAAGAACAAAACAGAAACTAATAACTGAGGTAACAACCATTACAAGCAAACATGGGTTCTGGATCCTTCATAATCCTAATCATCATCTTCAGCATCATTTAAAACAGCTCCTCTTACTTTGGACCTGCCAAATGAGATCCTGGTCATGAAAAGTAGTTATAGGTGATTGGTTGATAAAATTGATACTGTAGTAACCTGCGGTGAGCTGGTACAACACGTTTGGATCCTTTTCTTGAGCTTGGCTCCTGGGCAGCACGCTTATCTGCAATTACATGCATTATATTTATCTAAAGCAAGAAATACTAAGAAAGTAAAAGTGAGTCGGCCTTCATCAACATAAACATTTTCTTTCCTAAGGAGATGAAATGATACCTTGAGAATCTTGCGAAACCATAACAGATGTTGGATCTAAAATTTCTCTGTCATTTATCTTCTGTGACTTGTGCTTTGTTGAATGTAGTACCATGTCTAACTGCTTCTGGAGATCAGAATTCTTTTCCTGGAGAAGATGGGTTTAACAAATTTTAAATTCAAAATGGTATTGAGTAAAGAGACAAAAGATATTGCTAGATTTATACGAGTCTAGCAACAAGTTAATAATTGGTACAGTAATCCCAGTACTCAGCTTCAAATACACAAAAATAGATAGCTGCTGCACCAGAATAAGTCAAAAAAGTAGATGGAACAATTTGATCTAACCAAAAAGAAACATGGATTTGCCTAACCAAAGTATACACAACCACTGAAATTTGGAAATAGCATTTGCTACAACATGAAAGAGTGCTATTGGTAAAATTGTTGGATCAAGCCCACAGTAGTCTTATGAAGAGTTCTTTGTTGCAACCTGGACTGCTAATGATAAATCCTAATCAGGTGATGAAATGGGAAGAAAAGGCAGATAAAGTTGTTGTGGCTGAACATTCAGTATTGTCCTAGTGTCACTGAGTCATATGAATCTGTATTACATTGCATACGTAAATCACAACCACAAGAGAACACTAAAAGGAAATTAGAGGACCACACAAACTCTAAGGCCCTGATTGTTTATAAGATATCTGGTCACTTTTGACCAGATATTTTTTTAACTCAAATTTAACTCAACCCAACCCTCCTCAACATTATTAATATGATTAATTATCCTCACACATAACTTCAACATTAATTCAATAATCACCAACTCGCATAATTTTACTTTTAAATCAAATCAATTTTAATCATAATATTTTAATACGAAGTCAAAATCCCACTCAAACCTAAACCAATTTACTTTTTCATCATTAACTCTGTTTAACCAACAAATCCAATCAAAACCAAAATAAATTATATCCAATCACCCCCTAAGAATGTATCGAAGAAATAGTACGGAGACACTAGGAGCCAAGTTGTTATGCATATAACTACGAGAATCCAATGACGGAATGACCATTATCACATGATAAACAAGACTTACTAAAGAGCAAGACTTAACAAGATTGAGTTCTTAAATTAAAGCTTAAAGCACAATATGCCTAATTAAGTGATCTCCAAAACTGCAAAACATAATCACTACATTTTATGAAACCTGCAATTACATACAAGAACGTTTCACCAAATAAGCATACAACAAATGATACGCAGGTCAAGTGTTTAGGCACCAGAATCATTAAATAATTTAACATCAGGGTCAGGGTGGTCTACCCGTTCAGCAGCAACAACTTTTGTCAACTGATATTTGCACTCTTGCTCTGAAAACACAAACAACTAGATCAACAATGGAGAAAATTTACATAAATAACTGTGTGTGTATGTGTCTGGTAATAAGAACACGTGCATCTGTAGGAAGTGGGCTCTATTACATAAGTGGACTCCTAATCGTATATTATCCAGAGACCTGCCATAATTCTGTCATAGGAAGTACTATTATTAATCTAGACAGCAAGAAAACTAGTCACCAAAGTGTGTATAAGTTCAGTGTTAGATGGATGAAGATCGTGTAGCGGCATCTATTCACCAACTCGAGATGAAGATAACCAACTCGAGATGAAGATAACACTTGTTAGCAATGAATTCAATAGAATACCTTCAATAAGTAAACTCTTCACATCCTTATACTCTTTGTATAGCTCAAGTGCTATGCAGGCCATTGCCTCACCCGAAGCACCATTGCCAAGTTTACTGAGGGAAAAGGAGACTCGTGGCATTCCTTTCACTTTTTGGGCAACCAATTTTGCAGACTCAACACCTAAAACCAGAAATGACAGGAGATATGGAAATTTCATTTATTTCTACAAGCTGGAATTGAGATACTCATATGGCACAAATCTTCTAAATAGATCAATATTTAACTGCCAATGCAAGTAAACTTTAAGTGCACATATTATGCCGATTTCACGTTTTACAATTACTATAAATTAGTTGCATTGGAAGAGAAGCTATCAGGAAGCAAGAATACAAATGTAGAGCATCTATTAGTGGAAGGAAAATAAGAAGCAATCCACTCACAAAAAGTCACTAACTAAAACAAAGTCAAATCACGCTGATAACAATCCTATTTTGAAGAAGTAATTTGAAAAATAATGAAAATGAAAACTTGTATAATGTCCACTGGTCATAAGTCATAACATAGGATTATTAGTTCCCATCTTTCCATTTCAATTACGAAACATCCTTAGTTATCATTGGACAAGCAAGATTAGACGCATTGAATAACCTCCTGATTTTGAAGAACACTCCATAATAAGCTTCACATCTCCAGCTTTTAGAGAAGTAGTGACGTAGTCTATAAATTCAGACCAGGAGCCACCAATTCCAATATCATCCCTCTACATATATCAAATCACAAAAAAAAAAAGAAAAAAAAAATCAGTTAGCTGAAAGCAGAGCACGAGCCGCAGCATGCTGAAGTTTGAATAAAAACATATTTAAAGCATCTGATTTCAAAAGAAGTAATGTTTATCCAACCACCAGAATGATCTTGGTGCTATCACCAAATACTAATATAATATTGCAAATATTTCCCAACACAGAACATTTTCAAACCACCAACAGTTAGTGATACACTCATAACTTTCTATAAGTATAACAACTCTAACGTAATGCCTGTGTTGAACTACCAGATTTGTTTATCTTGCAAAATAGACAAAAGAATTTCTATAAAGTTCACGCAGTGCAAAGCGGAAGCAAAGTATTTCTCCTGGTATACAGCTGCCTAATCACAGTCTTCGTGTCTCATGGAGTGGAATCGCTCAAAGCAAAGTGCTTTCAAAATACTCCTCAGTCAAATACAAGATTAGGCAATGGTACACTGCTTATTACCCTTCAATTAAACTAAACTGTCTCCATCGAACACGCAATACTTTCTTGCATCTCCCATACATATTTCCCTAACCAATCAGCATCTGCCAAGAAACCCACTGACAAAACACAGTGCTCCTTCTGGATGTACACCGTGAATCGTAATCATATAAGTAGAAAGGTAGCATTGAAAAAGTATCTAATGCATCAGAAAGCCAAAGAAATGCTTTACCTACTCATAGTCAAATAATTTATTTTCTTCACCAGTGGTATATAGCACACAGGTCGTCCAGGGAGCTCACAAATGTCACGTTGTTTTTCATTTTCCTTTTAATTTTTTCTTTTGTTTATAGACGGATTCCATAGGAAGTCTATAAATGACATCATACTGAAGAAGAGGGTAATACCCAGTTAAGAACGAGCAACTTCAATTCCATGAAGTTACTTAAAGTCTGATGACACTGAAAAGCCATTTTGAACTTCCGTGTTCTATATTCCTTTCTCCTTCTACTGCGTATCGGTTTGAATTATATTATCATCCGTGCAAGGCCCTTCAGGCAAGACTTTTCACTTAGAGTCTCCAGATAGATGTAACTTCTTAAGGAACCCTTTAAATTGTGATTCCCATGTCAAGTGTTTGCAAATAGAAGATAAAAATTGATTGCCTAAAAGGAATTTTTGTGGTACACAAGTTAAAAAGTGTGTTACTCAGTAGTGGGAGGCAAATTAGAAGCTGTAAACAAAACTAAAAGGAGAATCAGAAGAGGAAGCATGTTCACAAAAGAAAATTCGTAACATATTTTTTTATCTTAAACATAGAAAGCTCTTTCCTATGTGACTGCAAACTCTACAAACGTTAAACGCACATGATCATGTCAAAAGACAAAAAGGAGAAGGAGCCAAATCAACCACCCCAGACGTTGTACACGAACTGCAACACTTCAAATTCCAACAAAAAAAAAAGCATGATTTCGGCGTAATACATGACTTAATCGTTCGATCAGTAACTGGGAAAAAAAAAATAAAAGGAACTTTTTAAAAAAATGTATATATATATATGAAACCGCCATTAATCTCAATATGATATGATGCTTAAAAAAAAATAAAAAAAAAAAAGACGGAGAGATTATGAAGGTGCCTGACCAAGTCCTCGAGCTGCTGGGAGGATTTGATGGCCTCAAATGTGTTGGAGCCAAAATCAGTGGCCATGATCCGGAGATTTTTCCCGTCATGCTGCACGCGACAAAGAAACGGCGGTGATGGGTGCGCGTGCGTCGGAGCGGACCATTCCGGAACAATTTTCCGAAATATTGGGCACATGCTTTCCAAGCTCATGACGACGTCGGTTGTGAAGGGTTGAACAACACAGTGGATGGGGACGGAAGGAAGGAAGCAAGGGTAATTTATTTAAAAAAAAAATATAGAAATTAAGTGGACAAAAAAAAAAAAAAAAAAAAA